CCCCCTCCAATCTTTCCCCGCTTCTTCCTCTTTTTGTTCCAAATCCCAATAGTAAAGAAAAACAATAGATTTTGTCAAAAAAATTTGTCAATCCTTTCTTTCACATTAACTCCCTCTCCCTCTCTCCTTTTTGTATCGATCTCAAATTGGAAGATAGCAAGAGAAAAGAGAAAGACTATCGGAAAATTGACGAATTTTGGTTGAAAAATTCTACTTATGCAATCCGACTTCTTCTCTCTTTCTGATTTCACCATTCGTATCCTTCTTTGGCATAGCTTCGCCGGCTCTTTTGTTGCCTTGACGGAATTTTAGTAGGTGACTCATCGACTCTTTGACTTGGGGTATGGATTTTGTGAATTTTGTTAGAAGTGAAAGATGGAATGAATTTTATGGAAGTTCATGGCTGATTGAGTCAGTCAAGTGGTGGTTGTGATTTTTTTTCCGATGGCAGTGCTAAAATATGTAGAAGAAATAGTGAAAGAAGTAAAATAAGAAGAGAAATTTTGATAAATTAACTTTAAAAAAGGGACCCACAGATGACACATATAAAATAATAAATGGTCTTAACATTTGACGTGTTCTTCTTTGAGGCAATTGAGTTACACGCGGGTTTATTTATACTCAATTGATTGAATTGAGGTGCTAAAATAGAAAAATTCAAAGTTTAAATATCGGCTTTAAAATCTCATACAAATTTAAGTGGCCACAAAGCCATTTCGCCAAAAAACTATTAAAGTTGTAACAAATATTATATATATATATATATATATATATATAATATTAAAATATAATTAATTTCATACTAAAAATTTTAAAATTAATTCATAAAATTTTAAAAATCCACAGGTACTCTTTGCAATGTGAGGTGAGAATTCAGAATGGGAACTGACATTTCTGGGATTGGTAGACACGTGTGAAAAGGACAATGATTTGTTCTCGATATCTCTTGTGAAGCTAGATTCTAATTACGTATCTCATTAATTACACTCTTCAATGGTAAGATGGCAGATGAAATTTTTGGCATTTTGCAACATTAATTTCAAATAGACATGTGTATGTCCCTTACACTATATAATCCACAAAATACTCAGTTGGAAATAATCTAGCAAAATTTGTTATGTGACAATATTATCATTTGAACCATATATATAAAAGATTAACGTACAATTAGGAGTGTTCAAGTAAAATAGAGAAACTGAATCAAACCAAGAATTGAATCAAATGATATAAAAAAATTATATTTCAATTGATTTGATTTTAGTTTTGAATTTTAAAAACTGATCAAATTTGATTTGACTTTTGAATTTAAGCAAAAACGAAAGAAAATTGAATCATACCAATTATTTTAATACCTATTTAAAATTTATTATTACATACATATATGTAAATTTTAATCACAAGATTAAGTTTCTCTTGGCTTAAACATTTCCAAATGGATAATTGAGATCTCTTTATAATTACTTGTATACGCTATCACTTAGTATAATTTTTAAGACTCGTAACTCAACGTGGAATGTTTTTTATACCAAAGTAAAATAGGTAGTTCTAACCTAGCATGCTGCACAGAATTCAAATAAAGCAGTTTGAGCAAGTAAAGCAATTAAGTCAATTAAACATGCTTCCCTACGCTAACAGTAGGCTTAAATTATAAGTAGTATAAACACGGAAGAAAACACAGTTATTGTTACTTAATGAAAACAGGATTTTCAATAATTAGCACATGTACGCACTCGTCACCTCACGTACAAGGCATTTCATATATCAACAGTACCAAATCCTAAGGGGAGTTCCTCACACAAGGTTAGGCAAGTCACTTACCTCGAACCGGCTCAAAAATCAACCCGAAATCACGCTCTTGTCACGAGTACTCGACTCCAAATGGCCCAAATCTATTCAAATCAATTGCATAATGTAAATATAACTTCAAGTAACTAATTCCACTAAGTTATTCGAAGCTAACATGCGAAATTAAGAAAATTGCCCAAAAAGTCCTCTGGGTCCACATCCCGGAATCGGGTAAAAGTTATGGATTATGAACCCTCATTCACTCACGAGTCTAACCATACCAAAATTATCCAAATCTAATGTCAAATTCCCAATCAAAACTCGAAAATTAGTCCTAAGAACTTTTCCAAATTTTCCCTCAATTTCTCACCCCAAATACGAAATTAGATGATGAATTCACGTTTAGATTAATGGGTTATAAACAAAAAGGAGTTAGGAATCGTTACCCAATTGATATCTCTGAAAAACCCTCAAAAACTCGTTTAAATCTGAGCTCCCAAACTCTAGTTTTGATAAAAATGGTTAAACCCTCGATTTTGAAATTTTATAATCTGCCTAGGTAAATCTTGTTCGCGAACGCGGAAAGCCCATCGTGTTCGCGAAACACAACTTCGCTTGGCCCAGAATTCCTTCATCGCGAACGCGATAACAACTTTCTCCCTCCTATGCGAGCGCGGGACCTTCTTCGCGAGCGCGTAGGCATCAGACCTCTCATCATCGCGAACGCGAAGCGTTAAGCTTCCACCAGCCCCAGCTCCTCTTCGCGAATACGAAACCCCACTCGCGAACGCGAAGAAGGAAACCAGAACTGGAGATCTGCTGCATTTTCTGCAATTCTCTAAGTCTAAAAATAACCCGTTGAACATCTGAAACACACTCGAGGCCCCCAAAACCTCAACCAAACATGCCAACCAATCCTAAAACAGCATTCAAACTTGTTCAAACCTTCGGAACACTCAAAACAACATCAAAACATCAAATTAACATCGGATTCAAGCCTAAGAACTTCAAAAACTCCCAAGTTCCGCTATCGATAAACAAGTCTATCAAATCTCGTCCGAATGACCTAAAATTTTGCACGCACGTCACATTCAACACTACGGAGCTACTCCAACTTCCGGAATTCGATTCCGACCCCGATATCAAAATCTCACTACCAAACCGGAAACTTCAAAAATTCAACTTTCGGCATTTCAAGTCTATTAAGCTACGGACCTCCAAAACACAATCCGAACACGCCCCTAAGCCCGAAATCACCCAACGGAGCTAACGGAACCGGCAGAATTCCATTCCAATGCCGTCTTCACACTGCTCCGACTACGATCCAAATTCTAAAGCTTAAGCTCTCTTTTAGGGACTAAGTGTCCCAAAATACTCCGAAACTCAAAACAAATCTTCCCGGCAAATTAAAATAGCATAAACAAACACGGGGAAAGCAGTAAATAGGGAGATCGGGGCATTAATTCTTAAAACGACCGATCAGGTCGTTATAATTTCTTGCTATAAGGTGGCTCCGCCATTGGTCAAGTGTATGTAGTATTAAAATAACGGGTTCAATTGAATCCATNTAAGTACTTAAGTGTTTTCAAACTTTTAAGGGTTAAAATTAAAGATTAGAATTGAACTTTTAAGAGTTAGAATTAAAAGAACAAACTAAAAGTCTAAAATTTGGAAACTAAAAGTCTAGAACATAAAACATATTAACATAAATGCATAAGTCTATATAAAAAATATTGAATAAGAGTATAAG